ATATAAGTGAATTACATTATGTTGCATGTTAATCTATACATTTTTAATACGTAATCAACTATTTTTTTTTTTTTTTTATTGGTGAAAATGGTATGGTAACCCCGCCTGCGCTAACGGAATACGCTGGCGGAGCACCGGTGAAGGGTGATAGATGAGAATGAAAACAGGCCAGTTAGCCCATCATGATGGATCATCAGGAATTAACCATGATAGTTTCCAGGGAGAACCGCGAGGAGGTCGACCTGCTTGGATATATTGCTAGCAATGGGATTCTCAAAATTTCAAAATTTAAAAATTAAATTTAATTTATTAATTTATATAAATTTAAATTAATAATTAAATTATCTTTTAACAATCGACTTGTTAAACAAACTAGTGTTAGCAAACAAATGTGTAATCGAATATAAACATTATTTGAAATTCCAGAGTATATGATTCAGTGAGAGAATTAAACTGCATTCACTTGCATTGCATTTAGATTCGCACAAAAGTCGAAGACAGAACCTATATTTGTCGATTATGCTAAATTGCATGCTTCAACACCGGAAACCGGAAATGATTGGATGCATGTATCGGTATTATTTTGTTATTGGTAGGTAATTTTACAAAATAAACAACCATAAGTTTTTGATAAAACTAAAATATCTTACTGATATTATTATAAATAGACAATGTTCGTAAATGGGAAACACATAAAACATATAATGAGGCATCTTAATGAAGCCAATAGAAGCCAAAACAATTATTAGAAATTTAGTCTTCTCTGTATGTATGTGTTTCGGCATCATGTAAAAACTACGGCACCAATTTGGATGCGGTTTTCATAGCTGTGTTCCTGGAAATGTAACTTAAAATCTGGTGTATGTTTCATCTTTTAGTACATAAAGTATGAAACATACCTTTATAGCTAGATTTGGCCTCTTCATTACTTTTCCTTCTTCTGAAATCCAGACATACCAAAGACTATATAACACGATATTAATATACTAATACTTATAGTACTGTTCCTCTTTCGATATTCTGGGGATAAAAGAGTGGTAACATATTGTATCAAAGGGCACGATAGTACTTCCGGTAAGTAGAGCACAGCCCTACTATCCTTTTCTCGAACACACGGCACTTTTAACCCCCTCCCCCTCAATAACTTCATAGTGATAAGTTTTTATTACATCATCACATTAACAGACATTAATAGGTACATAGTTATTATCATGTGTAAACTATGTCTAAACAATAACCTATTTCTGACCTTAACATTTGCAATACTTAAACATGAGAAGCCTGAATTTACATGAAACAAGGTTCTAAAATAAACAAGCCCTTAATTTATTATTTAATCTAACGCCTATACAGAGGAGCTGCGCTATTATTGAACTGGGGTGCTCCAAGCGACATATTAAAATCCTGCCTCCCTTCTAAGGGTGTGGGGTACGGACGTCATGCACCACGATCGATATACAACAGCCACACTAGTCGGTCGCGACGATAAAAACGTCCTGCAACCTTTCCATTACTGCTTTCCTGATAACCTAGATATACTAGAACAGCGTAAACTACCATTGTATAATAATATTAGATCAAAGAGGTTTCCAAAGCGGCTAAGTTTTTAAGTTAGTACATGTATTCTTAACATTTTTCGTTCATAAATCATTAGGTTGATATTGGCTTTTATAGAAATACCTAATAGTGTGTTGAGGCAATGGATTTCATTTATTTATCCACTGAACTTTTAATAGGTAGTTTCTGTAACCAATTTATTAAAGACTAGCGGCCCGTTCCGGCTTCGCACGTGTAGACATTTTTACAACATTTTAAAAAGTTATTTATTGTGACATAACGATAATAGTTGGATATATAGTATCGCTAAGTTTTTTATAGTTATTGATATTTTCTTCAATATTATAGAACATACTTTTGTTCTATCACCAATAGTTTCCGCAACGCACGCGACGAAAGATATTTTATAGTATTTTTTTACAGCTTGAGTTACGTTACTAAAGTTTTAGTAAGGATCCCTAATCTTTTCTAGCAATAAATATAGCCTATGTTACTCAGGGTGAATGTAGCTTTCTAATGGTGAAAGAGTTTTTGAATTGGGCAGTTTTTGAGTTTATTCATTACAAACATACACACAAAAATACAAATCTTTCCTCTTTATAATATTAGTGTAGATGAGTGTGTAACCTGCAAAACCCTTGATGTTGTGGGTGATCATGGGCGGCGGTAGTCATTATCAGGTGAGCCGCATGCTCGTTTGCCCCCTGTGTTATTTAAAAAAAAAATCCCTCCTTTTTAAAATACAGTGAAACTTGGTTAAGTAGGACCTGAATAAGTGAGAAACCTCCATAAATGGAACTCATGTTCTGCTAGTGGGACGAAGCAAACCTCTATATCTCAGATCCGTTCTTTTGATTTTATAGTCATAGGTACCTCTATATCTGAGACAGTGAGTGAATTTCATATACATTAACCTCTGTAACTGAGAAAACATCAATTTATTACCTCTCTAACATGGACTATTTTACATTTAAATTTGTTACTTACTTCTTCTAACCACAAATTAACCACTTAATTAAAGACAATCAGTACCCACAAATCAATATTCTTCAGGCGATGAGGTTTGTTAGGAAATCTTTGTACAGTTATTTTGAAATGACATCAATTGGTGACCAAAGTATATTGGATAAAATTTGTCTTAGAAAAACATTTAATGGTTAATACTTCCAAAAGACAAACTAAAATGACCGATTTTTATAATTGATACATTCTATTTAATTTTGTTTCTTACATTTATTACCTTTAATATTATTTTATTTGTTCTCTAAGATTAAAACTCACTTTTATTTGATAACCACGCTTCCACAACTGAAATAACCTGTATTCTGACCTCTATTAAGTAACCCTTCCCCCCTTCCTTTGTAAATGAGACAGATATTTATTTATACCTGGATAAATGATAAAGTGTAAGTGAAAGTGGAATACCTCGATAAGACAAAGGTTCCTTAGTGTCTCACTTAACCAGGTTTCACTGTATACGCCAGTCACTCATACGAAGGCGTGGGTAAAAACTAATATAAATTGTCTCTTTCCAACCCTAACAATATAAGTATATACTGTCTCCCTCACACGACCCGAAGGAAATACAAAAGTAATTAACAATACTCAGTAGCTATTGATTCGATTGAAAGAGGAAATCGCGCGTAAATAATTTGTTACACATGTGGTGTGTGTATTTTACTGTAGTTTGTGAAATAAATAGAATTCTGAATAAAATACTCATTTCAGTTTCCTATTTTTAATTACTGCTGGAATTCGTAAGGCACGTGTGTTAATTCCCACGGCCTTATACCAGGATGGAATAATTTACAGAGTACCGAAGTATATTTCTCAATAATGGTAACCTAGTATATTCTACGGTGCCCATGGTACTATTCGTATTTATAAACAAAGGCTACCACTCTCCCTTTAGGCACACTATTAGCTTATTTGTTCCAACCATCATGACCTAAATGGTGGCCAATTAGACCACAATATTTGCAACTTGGACACATGCAATTCCAGAAGAGTCTTACAGTGAACACTCAGCTTGTGAAATGTTTCCAGCTAAGGTTTTGTATAAACAATTAAAGCACTGGGTTTCTCAAAAGGTGTTTCAACCGTGAAGCAGATGTGTTTGCATGGCTGTGTTTCGGTCTGAAGGGTGGGATATGGCGTGAATTTACTGGGTACAGAGGAATAACACCTGAGTCCTCAGGAATGGCAACGCATGGGAGGTATCATGGGCGAAACAATATACTGTGTTATGTCCATGGTACTGCTCATGTCTATAGGCGACGGTTACCACTTGTACATCAGGTGGGCCGTCAGCATGTTTGCCATTCTAAGATGTATAAAAAAAAATTGGGATACCTCTGGTATGGCAGACATCTTTAAGTTACTGTAACCATTTTCTATCAAACAAGCTGTACACGCCTATTTACGTATTATCTCAAGGAAGAAATCGTAGTTTTTGTTACCTATTCAGTAACAGTGTGTATAGTATAATCGATTACAAAAATAATTAATACGATCAATCAAATATTGAGTTTTCTATCGCTTATTGCAAACAACTTTGCAATAAACAGTAGGTATTTTTTTATGTTTAACACATTGTTGTTGAGAATTTCGTGACAGAATAGGCTGAAGCCAAAACATGCGCATAAACAGGCCTCGGTATTAGCACATCTGCAAGTCCAATTAATTAATCATCTTCCAATAGGCTGTGCAAATACATATATAATATCCAAACAATTGCCGCTCGTTATATTACTGTGTACAGCGACAAGGGTTGTACACTTACAAATTGAGATTGCGTTTTTATGTGATCATAAAATAAAATCTTGCAATAACACGAAAACGTGCATGTGCTACAATTACTGAACGTTATAAAGTTTTATCGATAATGTTTTAAAACAATATTTATCTGTAGTAACTTTACTATCTGCTACTGTAATCCATTCTTTATTTTAGAAAACAGAAACACAGATTTATTTAAAACTATTCAAAATTCCAAATAAAAAGTAAAAATACAGTTTTTACTGAATAAACTTACTGAAGATAGATTATAAATATACAGTCAAAAATAGTCTGTAAATAAACAATCGACCTCCGTGGCGCAAAAGTTGTTTTGCATAAATAGGGTCTCGGGTTCGACTTTCGGTTGGGTGAATTTATGAACAACATATTTTTTATATTACATCAAGTCTAGCTTTGAATTCTGGCTCCAGCTATCTATTAGGTATTTAATCCCAATCTTAAAACTGGTAAGACTTTGTACGAATTAATAATACCGCCAACTTCCAAGTTTAATATTAACTTTTCACGCTACTGGCGTTTCTAAAAACAAACTACATCCTGTTTCGCGCTAACTATGATCGAAATACGTTGCTAAACGTGCCTACCAGCACAAACAATTTGGTCGAAGTTTCAGATAAATAAATTTACGAACAAGCAATACTCACGCTACCCTCCCGAACTCGTCTCTGGGCACGACCTTGTCCCCGGCACCAGTCTCCGCGAGTTTCGCTCTGAAGGCGGCCACCCGAGCAGCTATCTCCTCCTTCGGCAACCTGCGTAGCCAGACCAATGAGACACTCATTACTGTACGAATATACAAAATACGGCGCGACCGTCCGCACTGGACACGTCAGGCACGCATGTTATCACGGCGAGACTGCACTCTACAGCTGAACAAGTGTAAATGAGTGAAAATAATAAATGCTCACTGAAACCGCAAACGGACCACCTGAACCTACCAATGCATGATACGCTCGCTGCAATCGAGGGAATTACTTTTTGAGAACTATAAAATAGCGATAAGGCGCTCCGGCGCGTAGTACTAAACTGAGGTCACCGTGCCCAGTACGTAGGGTGGTATGGTCTCGCTCGGTTGAATTATTGATTTGACTCCGGCGCAACAAGGGCTGCCGCCCCTAAAAAGAGGGTGCGCGACCATCGCAATATCTACAGGGGTCCGTTTTCTATTATACAATATAATAAAAGAAACAAAGGGATTTTATTGGGCCGTAAATCAATAACAACACTTGAAACTGGATAAACATGTGTGATTTGAAATAAAAATGCTACAGGTTGCAATATTTAAACTTTTTTTTTATAATGTATCTAATCTACTCATCCAACATGTACATTTTCCTTTGCAAAACAAAGCCATTTTATTGAGACAAAATATAAAACGAAATATGTCATATACCTATTGTAAGTAAACAAATTAGATTGAAAAATTCGAATTTAGAATGCGGAGCAATCTACGAGTAGATTTCGCTGCACAATTAAAAACAACGTACCTTTCAATTATTACAATAATAGAATACAATCTACACGGGAGTAAATACCATCGATAGAAAAAAATCTAATTAGTTCAAAAATGAGCGACGAGCAACGTAAACACGAAAAAAAAAACAGACAGGTTAAGAAGACGCTTAAAAATATATATCTATAAAGTGTTAGGACATATGTTGGGATGTTATTCTATGTTATTTGAATATCTAACATCATTGACCATAAACGGAAAAACGTATTTGAATGATATATATATATATATATATATATATATATATATATATATATATATATATATATATATATATATATATATATATATATATATATATATATATATATATATATATATATATATAATAATTACATATATATAATTAAAATACTTTCGATTGACGTAACAAAATTGAAGGAAATGCGACATCGGCCTGTCTACACATCTATTTATCTGTACTTTACAAACCTGTCAAACACAAATGTAGTTGTTTTGACGTGGTCTAAATATTTATTTTAACAAACAGTGAAGTTTGAAAGTTTTTACAGAAATGATTTCACTAGGCTTTTTGGACTATTCAACACTAGAGTTGATAGGCATTTTATGTGAAGTTATCTCGGTCAGTTTTAGTTTTGACAGCTTAAACAGCTGATCCGATTTTATTGAATATTGAATAGTCACTGTATACCATTAAAGTTTATATGCTACAACGTCGTCAATTCGGAACAGATTGGCACAGTTCCTTTTGCAATCGATAGGGTTTACTCCCGCGTTGATTCCATATTGTGTGCGTGTGCGTGTGTACGTGCGTGCGTGTGTGCATACATTCGCGCGTGCGTGTGTGTGCGCGTGTGCGTATTCGTGTACGTGAGCGTGTGCGTGTACGTACAGGTGCACAGTCTAGTTAACAAATAACTTTAAAATCTACCTATTACTACAAAATCCTAATGCAACGCGATTCAAATGGTGGATAAAATTTCTTTGCGTATCCTATATGTTAGTTCATAATATCACTGCCAAAGATGGGTAATCAACATGTTCTGTCTGAATTGGGTAAACATGTTCACAGAACATGATTTAGAAACCCTTTATATTTTGTAGCTGAGGCCATTCTTTGAACAATAATAAAATGATAAAAATATAATAGCGTAGTAATTCTAATAGATTTCATAGTTGGCAGATTGCCAATTTTAAAAATAAATGTACTCTACCAATGATTGATACAGTAACTGTGGGATTAGTTACCAATAAAAGTAAATAAATTAGATCAAATTATATTTAGATTGAGTAAAAATGGATTGATTTCAAATTTAACTTTGTATAAAGATTTAAGTCAATATTATTATTATTAATTAATTAATTCTACAAGTAATGTTAATGCAATGTGATTGGAATGAAAAAAATGCCCATTTCTATAATATAGAGATCTTAAATTATCTAAAAATCTATTCTTGGTTGGATATTAGTTTGTTTAAATTTCAATAAAGCTAATTAGTAAAACACTTTCAAATCAGGGTAGCAACTCATTGAGATTTACGTTATTATCAAATTCTGGGAAAGCATCCAAAATATCTATCTAGGCTACCTATTTCCAAGAAGAATAATTTGCTATTTTTTTTTTACAAAATATTACAGTTCTGATAAAATTATCATAAGACCAACACAGGAATAAATAGTTTATATTAAAAAAAAGTAATCAGCAAAATCAATTCAGTCAGGGAAAAAATTTGTTAAATTAATTAAAAAGAAGCGGTTTCTTTTTGAAGCTAATTGAAAAGGAGTATATTACCAACTTAGAAAAGTTTATACCAAATTAGTAACAAAACACTGATTTTAACAAATATAAGGTGGCTACAATACACAAAATATTTATGTGAAACCTTTAAAGTTATATAGGGTGAAATTGGAATCAATGTGTACAAGTGTGTGCTGAAAACCAGTATTATGTTCAACTAGTCACAATCTAATAATAAATAAATAATCTTCAACCTAATGTATATCTATACTCTGTTAACAAGAAGAATTCCGCACAACAAAAAAACTGACATCATTAAAAATCAAATATAGAACTAAAATAGATACCTATTTAGTATAAGGGAAGTGTTTATAACTTCTCATCTAAAACATATCTACATTCTTGTAAAATAAATTCATTTTATTTAATTGTAAACCCCACTGATTGTAAAAATATTTACCCATAAAAATGTCAAACATCACATAAACCAATTTTAGCTATTATAATATTATTTTGTTTGATCTTTTTCTTTTGTACTAATTTATGAATTTGAAAGATAGTGACAAAAAACTCTGGTAGCGGAGGGAGGGGGATTATTAGTAACATGGACTATCAGTCCCATTGCTAGCAATATACATTGGCAGATCAACCACCACGTGGTCCCCTCTAAAAACCACTGTGTTGAATTCCAGATATATTCATCATGATGGGCTAACTGACTTGCCTTTTTTATTCTCACCTATCATCCCTCACTGGTGCTCCGCCAGCACATACCATTAGTGCAGGCGGGGTTACCATTCCATTATCATCCATTAAAAAAAACAATGTAACAGTAATATATGTAGGAATTTTTAGTTTTTAAGAATAATAGGGTGAACTAAAAACACAATACACAATAAATATTTCAAATTAAGACATTCTTCTTTTTTTTCTTAATGATAATAATAGATATGATTTTTTTTCTCAGCAAATTTTACAGAAAAGAAGCCACACAAAAAAAAAAGTTATGATAATTATATTAATACTTAATATCAATTAGCTCCCAATATAATTATAATTACGAATAGAAAGAAATATGTATAAATTAAAAATTCAGAAAGTCAATAATGGAATAATAAAATTATAAAAAAAAATATATATATATATATATATATATATATATATATATATATATATATATATATATATATATATATATATATATATATAAATTGAGTAGTTAAGATTATTTACATTTTAATGGGAATTTAACTGTCTAAATAAGGATATTATATTGTATTTATTTTCCCATAACACATGTGTAAAGCATTATTTAAAAAAAAAACATTGCAGTGACTATTATATATAGTTTTACCTACCAATTAGTAATTGGTAAACTCACCCTTGCTCTTCAAGACTGTCTTCAAGTTCTGCGCACTTGACTTCAATCTTCCTCTTCCTTTCATGATCAAGGATTTCTTGATTAGGTTGTTTGTTTGATGCCGAATCCAATTTTGCTATTTCTTCTTCAGTGCGATAGTTCACAGAATCTTTTGTTTTTCTCACTGAAGCCCAATTTCTTTGAACATATCCATTGGTGCCAGAGCCTCGGGGTGTCGTCAAACCGATGCCGTTATACATTTTATTGGTCTATTTTGTCTTTCTAAAAGAAAATAATATTTAAAATTTAGAAGCAAGACTTTTACAGCGCAGTTTGACACGAACGCTGATACTAAAGACATGTGAAAATTATATAAAATGCTCTCGGACTTTGATGTAATTCATTAATTTATTTTAATTTTTAAATAACTCTTTTTAAAGAAGGACAATTTGGTCACAAATCACTCACCATGTAATTCTATAAATGTAGGTTTCGGGTTTTATATTTCGCACGGGCAATAAACGTCCATCTTGCTAGAATTTATTTTTTTATTTAGTGATGTACGTATATTTTCTTAGTTTAGTATGCTTTTACAATCCATCGATTTAATGTTCTCCATAGATAGTTGACTCGAGCCTGTATCTATCATATAATTATGACTTCTTTTTCATATAGCACCTATAAGAAAAAGAAAGCATATATCTCTATCACTGTTCTATAAGCGTTAAATTTAGCGCCTATATATATCGTCAGTAGAGCTTATTATGTTTTTACCATAGATATCTAACATTAATTATGACATTTACAAAAATTAAAGATCCATCATATTGAAGACTAGGCAGCACGATCTCCGACCTTAGCCTGTTCCAAAACAGAACAAATGTACTTAAAAAAATAAAGATCCTATTTTGAGGTTATGTTATTATTTACTTAACTATTTTCTTTAACATATAACACGGTGATGTTTGTTGTATATATTGTTAAAAAAGTACATAAAAAAGATTCAATTTAAAAATATGCTCGACAAAATTTTATATAACACCGTCCTGTGTCAAACGTTTTCAAGATGTGGGAAGTATTTAATTGCCGGTAATATTTACGGACAAATCGCTATATTCGAGTACGTAATACTCATTTTTAAATTTTATACATACAAGTAATTGATTTCGTCGATTTATTATAGTTTTACTTACAGCCTCGACCGTATACTTAATCCAGTGGCCGAGCTTCTTACTGTGGATTTTAATAAGCCCAAACACATCCATACACTTGAGTCCGAAAAACAAGTATGCAGTCTAGTTACTACAGAGAAGTTCCTTATCGTTGGATCTGTGAATGAAATATCAGGATGGGATTGGAAAGGATTTCTTAATTTTAAATTAAATAAACCCTCTTGGGTAATAAAAATGCCATCACATTCAATTTTGGAACAAATAGACGTCAATAGTTTATGGTTATCCGAAGATGAAAATAGATTGTATGCAGGTTGTGGAGACAATAATGTTTATGTCATCAACTTAGAAGATGGGAAAATTGTATCCACATTTACTGGCCATGAAGACTACATACATTCAGTACATGGAAAGTAAGTATAAATATCTTTACATAATCTTTGTTACAGTATGCAGGGTAAAATAGCCAATGCAGTTTCTAATGACCTCAGTACAACATGTGTTAAAGTCGTTAGAGGGTTGATAGGGCCTAGGTACATGTTTAAATAAAAATGTATTCACCAATAAAAAATACTGTTTAAAACTAGTATAATTATGTGCCAAATATTGTATATATTGGTTTTTTAATAAGGATACAGATTAGAATATTTACTGCCATGATAATTTTTTTATTAGCATATATGTATAATTGATAATTTTCTTTTTATAATTTAATTTAATGAAATTTATTATAATTTTATCAATAAAATGTATGAATCCAAAAAATATATTTCTAGAAATCAACAGTTAATAACTGCAGGTGAAGATGGTTATGTCCTACTATGGGATTTGAGAATGGGCAAAAGCCATAACAAACTAGAACCACACGACAATAGCAAAGTGAGCCGACCTGATATTGGCAAGTGGGTTGGCTCTGCTACACTGAGTGATGACTGGATTGTAAGTAGCTATTGTTTTTCCTATATCGATTAATACTTTATGAGTATTAACAAAATCTACATACTGCAATATATTAGAAAATCTTAAAATTTGCTTGTGAATTGGGTTTTTTTTAATGGGTGATAATGAAATGGTAACCATGCCTGCGCTATCGGTATATGTCCATGGTACTGCTTATGTTTATAGGCGATGGTTACCACTTTCCATCAAGTGGCCAGTCAGCTTGTTTGCCATAAAAAAATCTGATAAGTAAATAGTAGTTCTTGAAAGATATGTTATATTTTAAACAAAGCGTTAATATTTTTCTAGGTATGCGGCGGAGGACCTCGTCTCTCATTATGGCACCTCCGCTCCCTAGATGCCGTCACAGTATTTGATATCCCCGACCATGGTATTCACGTGTCATTCTTCCATGATGACTGTGTGGTAGCCGGTGGCGCGGCTAAACACCTCTACCAACTAAGTTATTCAGGGGAAGTCAAAGTGGAACTGCCTGTTTCAGCTACAACTGTCTATTCAGCAATATTACGGACACAGCCACACAATGTCCTAACTATTGCTGGCTCCAGTCCGGAAATCGATCTGTGCACTACATTCAACTACAGGGATCAAGTTTTACATTTCCGTTAAGTAATACCTACCGGTTTAACTTACGTGTAAAAGCTTAACTAGTTACTAAATCAATTCGTGATCCTTGGTCATGAGCGCCTGTAACGCCAGCAGGAGGTTGACTGCGTATTTCGATTTAATTACACGTAAGTTAAACCGGTAGTTATTAAAATATAATGTGTGTTTACGAAACTTTAAACAATAAGAGTTCCGTTAAGGTTAACTTAAATATTCATTTAATGATGGTGAAGATATGGAAAATAAAATATCATTACAATGTAACAACATTTTTATTATTTATAACAATTCCTACTAATTCTATCAATTACCTGCTACCTCCAGCTTCTACCGCATCTAATCCGGCGATGATTGGGTTTAAAATTCTCAATTTCGATTCAGATCAATAGTTTGCAATGAATACTTTCATTAATAGACTTATCTCGCAATGGATTGCCTAAACGAAAAAAGGGTATGGGCGCTTTTATAATTTACAGCAACACATAACAAGGCACATTTATATACATACATACATATCTGTCACGCTTGTCTCCCATTAGAGTAGACAGAAACAATGGAATGTTAAATGCAGGTAGAAAAGCAAAATTATATATGTATGTATATCAATCAAATAAGAGTTCTTATTTTTTGTTGATGTTGGGGACATTCACGACATAACATCATGGATAGAAAAGTAAATGTGTTACATATGTCAACCACATATATCTTGGTTTTTCATTATATTGTAACGATAAAATCATACCGTGACGGTACAATAAATTATAAAAACGCCCTTGTATATATACAAATCCATATTTACATATAATTATAGCTAAAGTTTGAACGTTTATTTTCTATTAAAATAACAGTACATGATATCATTCATACATATTGGGAGCAATACTGAGGCGCTATTTCACTAAAATTAAAATTTCAATTTGACATCACAGCGAAATCTTTATTCCAAGGATCAATACAAACCAAAATGTCTACTAGATTTATAATAATAATAATAAATAATAATTTATTCAGTTACAAAACATACAAACTTTAATGGCAACTTTATACATTAAAATAATAATTATGTAGTAGCATTTTAAATGGTCCTCACTCAGCTTAAGCTGCAGTGTATTGCTGCAGCGCTGATTTCTAATGGGACCACTCGATAGGTAGAACTTGAGAAACAGTATTAAATCTATAATAAACTATTAATTGGACCTTATAAATGATATCAATATTATATATGAATAAAAAATATATTGTTTATTGTATAACATACATGATACAATAAGGTATGTATATAGTAGATAGGTTCTGTAAATAATTGTGTATTGTAATTTTATCAGTTATAATTTATCTGCCAAATTACAGTTTTTGTACTTGAATCAAATGTATTTTTAAACGATATTTAAAAAACAAAACTGCCAGATTTGACAGTTTCGCCAAATTACTGTTTTACTAACTTAATTTGGCGAATTTACAATAATTTTGAATTAAATCTAGGTATTAGAAATTCCTTAAAATAATGTTTTCACTGTGATTGGATTTTTAATTTTAGATTTATGTTTAGAGAAATACCACCTCAGATCAGCGTTTTCTTTATGTGCAAAATGTTTTAAAAAATTAACTGTAGGATGCGGAATTACAAAATAATGATTAAAAAAAAAACAAATTGCCTCTATCTGGCTCAACAAATCATTACTTCTTACACGAATTTTAAATATAGCCATGCCCAGCAATAACTGCAGGTATGAACCCGTGGCTCCCGTCCCTCTTCGTCACGTAGAACCAGTCAGCATCCATATCAGTTTCCACCCCTTTCCCTTGTACCAGCGTCACTACATCACCCTGTTTTACCGATAACGTCTTATTTAAATCACTGCCTTTAAAATCACTGGTCACCACCAATAAAGTTTGTCTTTTCACTGTTAATTCTTTTATATTTTCTTTTTCTGCCACTCTATCAATGTTGGAGCAAACTGATTTAGTCCTTAAGTATAGGCTGTCAAAGTCTTTTTCCGCGCATGAATTTTTCAGTTTCTTCTCGATGCGCGGCCGGTACTGGCATTCTGAGCGAGTCCTGCCGCGAAGTTGTTCCTTCTCTATGTCGGTGAGGTTGCCGCAGGGACGGGGATATATGTCCGTACTGCTCTCCCAGCACGGAGTCTTTCTTTCTGGTGTTCTGTAACATTAAATATATTCCTCTATTATATATAGGAGAAGAAGTGACAATTGGCTGGTCTCATAGCTCGAAGAACCGACAACCGATAGAGAAGAAAGATTCTAGGGTCACATAGCTCGAAGATATATACTTTATCAGATCGACCTTCACGCGGTCTTCTCTGGAAATCATTGTGGAATTCATCAGTATAATATACAATAAAGTATATTAGGAACCAATATCATCGCTCATAATATATTAAACGAATTGAAACAAGACATCTTTTTAATAATACATTATATCTTTAGTACGATAAACATATAGCGCGTTTAATTTATCAAAAATAAACGATTAAACAAATATAGTTTTTATATAAATAATATAATTAATATATTTATTTATTTATTATAAAAATTAATATAATGTACTAAAATATATTAATTACTAAATAATAAATTAATAAAATCCAGGGACAAATGCAAAAACCTTTTTTTTTTTATTGCTCATTGATGCTACAATGATGATAGGTACATACTTAACAAAGCAGCTTTTCGTACATATGTACATAGATTTTAGAATTAAGAAAACCAATAGAAAAGAGCACATCTAGAATCTGGCGAATCAAAATAATACATAAAACAGATTTAAAATTAGACCTTCAGAAAAACAACTAATTGGATGGTATTATTTTTTTTATACCACTGAGCTGGCAAACAAGCATACGGCCCACCTGATTACCTGAGTGGTTACCGTAACCTATGAACACCTGCAATACCAGAGGTATTACGTGTGCGTTGCCGACCCTGAAGAAACCTTTTTACCTCCCTTTTGAAGAACCCCATGCTGTAGGCTCTTGGGAAAACCTTGGCAGGGAGTTCATTCTATAACCTGAGTGTTTACTATATACTATAATTATACTTATTACCTGTGAATTGATTTAGTGGTTACGAAGATTAATGTGAACAAACATCGTAACACAAGATTTTTATATTAAGACATTACATTGACAATACAATACATACAATGACATAAGACATTAGCTGACTCGACAAACCAAATTTCAAGTCGGTATAGCTTTTCTTTTCTAAAAACTTAAAATGCCACATTGGTCCAGTGCAGTGGCGGACTAGGCCCATCAAAGGCTCGAGGTGGCAAAGCCGAATGAGGCCCCAGTTTAAAAATTTGATTTAATTTTACTAGCTTTTTATTCAGTTTACATTTATATGTATAACTTTTTATGTTACAAAGAATTTAAATCTTACAACTGAAATTTAAATTAAATTTAAACATCCATAGTCTAAACAAATCTCTTAAATAAATAATAATAAATAAAGAGTCAAATAAATAAATATCTTGACCATCCATTGCACGAAGCATAGAAGAAATATACACGGAATACAACAAAATCTTACCTATTAGGCAATATTCCCAACGGTAGGCATGCGCTGTACAAAACATAACCCTCTTCACCATGTGGAGTTTGCACGTATAACCAGAGTTGGTTTTTGAACACTGCATTCACAACTGTACCAAGTGGCAGCGTCAACTCCCTCTGCTTGTCCTTCTGCGTCTGGTACAAAGTGGTAGGATACGCCACCACCACGGGAATGTTCCCCGGACGGTCTATGGATGCCTGGAAATAATATTGACTAGACTTAATAAAGCTGAGGAGAAAAGATTTTTGAAGATGGAAATAAGTATGACCTGACAAGCTGTATTGCTAGCAATGGAGCTAACAATCCCTTCTCCCCCTCCTTCACTTCTCTGGATTGCTAAATTTATTTTTTGCACATAATACCGCAAAAAGCCGAGCATAGCACTTTCTATACTACTATGGTGGCAAACAAGCATACAGCTCATCTAATGGTAAAAGGGGTTAGCATAACAGTTGAGCCTACACCTTTTGAAAGAAAGAAAGAAATATTTTTATTCAAGTAAATTTAGATTTAAGCATTTTTTAATAGTAACTTTTTTTACATAATGCACATTTTGTAATGTAATGTAATTTTTGAGTACATAATATACTTAAAGCCCTGCACTCAATCTTTTTTATTGAAACACCATTGTAATTAGGTATTCTTGTAGAAGAAAAAAAAGGGTTGTTAGTATTGAATAATAGATAATCAATTGGCTTATCTATTATTCAAGCTAGTATTATTCCTATTACGTCGATCACCTGTGCCTTTGCCGTGTGGTCCCGGCGTATAATGGACTACCCCTTTCATTCCTTTAGGTGTTGTAAGAGGCGATTAAAGGAACCTAATGGTCGTAGGATGAGCAGCCCTCTTAAAACATCAAAGCCTAACTACAGTTGCCAATTCTCATACCAAACGTGACAACTACTGGCAAAGCCTCTGCCTATATTCAGCAGTGTACAATTATCGACTGACATGTAATGATAGTGAAGTCGATCACCAGGTGGTACTCTGGAAACCATCAGGTTAATTCCTAGTCAATTCCTCTCGATAGGTCAACTGACCTGACATGATGTGACCCATTACCATTCCCTGATATAGGCGGAGTTGCCATTCCATTTTCATCCTATTGTAAGTATTTATCTATGATTATCTAATCTGTACAGCCAACCAAAAAGTACTCTGTGAAGAACGTGATGAGCTACATTTGTACTCGTATTTTTGTAATTGTGATTTCTGTTATTAAATCAAATTATAACAAAAAGAGTATTTTATTTTATCCCATACACATCCCATAGTAAATAAACTTTCACTCATTAGATATTAATGTACATGTTCCATAAGACATTAGTTTAAACCATTCGCTACTTACCCATATTTTTAAAACTGCAAATAATCATTTTTGATATAACATAAACATAGGGTTCCGTGGAAATAATGATTACAGAATACAACTCTGGGAAGATAAGCGGTATAATGATATTAAACGCTCGCAAGTTAAAAGGAGTTCCTTTTAACTTGCGAGATTCTGTAGATTTCCTAGTAGTGCGCTATTTCGGTAGATAATGAAGAAAAATGGTCAGCAATTGGTATTCTCTGTGTTATTTACACACTCCGTTTGTGCTATAGTCTCCATAATGAAATTTGTGTTCTAATTTGCGACCTGATATATTCATGGTCGAAAAATATCATTTATGCCAGTATCTAAGTGCTACTGTATATTTTATATATTATTTTTAATCTTTTTTGTATTACGTATAAAAATATTTATGCTATATACGTATTTCAATAAAATTAATAATTTAATATATAATTCCTTATTTATATATTCTTTATTTCACTTGTAAGTTACATATAATGTAATGCATTTATAAATGTTGTGAGCAAGGATGAACTATATTTTTTACCAGAAATATTTTTATAGGGTTTCTCAAACAATCTAGTACTTTATTAAAGAAATATAACAATAAATAAATAAAGAAAAGGTCAGAGACAAATTACAGGAACTTTGTAAGGGCAACTTTTAAATCTCCCATGACATATCATATTACCCGTCGGAATGCTCTGGCGCAATTAACACCGTGACGTTTAACCTCAGGAAGATATATTGTTGTTTTAAATAAACCGCATTGATGAATGGACCTGTCCACTCGTGGTTATCGTCGCGACTAGCCCCAAGTGACACAAAAAACGTTCAAAAGAACACACGCAATACGGTACATTATCCCGAAAATTATAAGCACTTCCAAATTACCGTTGTTAATAACTGTGCCCCAAATCCAATAGCGAAAATCATTATTAAGCCCTCGGAGAGAATTTCGAAAATTGTAAATGCCGTGCAATTTATGGCTTGCCCAATTTTGCGCCAATTTCGCGGCTGCATTGTCTTGCTCCGAGGTAGAGCAAAAAGCTAAAGGATATATGCCATAATGTCATAATAACATCGCAGACGTGAATAATGATCGAGATTTACAAGTGCATTTAAAATTCTTTTGTAAGCGAAATCTGTTAATACCGTAATAACGTACCCCGAATGTTGGATTTTAATACGAACATGTAACCTGAACGCAATTGTGATTTTGTAATACGTAAAAGATTTTCATAATTTCATCTCTAGAAGAAAATGGGGTAATCTTTAATCAGTAATAGTACCTACATTATAAAATTATATTTTTGTAACAATTATTGGACTAGTAATTGTGCTTTAATCCATTGATCCCAATCCTTATTTTATTATACTATAATATATTTTAACATATAGCTCTTGTGATTCTTATTAATTTTTCCGAAAAAAAAAAGAAATGTTTCCTCAAGTTGAATTAGTTAATATTATTTTTAGAATCTCAAGTAATAACTGTACAATAAATCACGTTGACCATTAGTACAATTTAGAAGTAAAATATTATTATATTTTTATTAATAAATATATAATATGTATAACATGTTTTAAAACTTACCGCACTTAAAAAGCTGTCCAAATCCCTAATATCGTAGCCAAATTTGTTGTTTTGATGTTTTTTCTTCCTCCTGTGCCGATGCCTGTGTTTTCTCCGTAAATACTCCTCAGTACCAACACTTGTATCAGAACATGTATTCTGTCCGTTTACAAACTCATCGCATGCACTCTTAAACCTATAGTTGTGATAATATTCGTTGCGCCCCATCACTCTATCCTTCATCTCCCCACTCTTACACTTAGCTTGATCGGCTTCATTAAATTTTTGGTTGTGCCTTTGATGTCGATCTACATCACTTCCGATAACTTTTTTTGATTTTTCCTCAGTTTGTCCTTTTTGCGGTAACTTGTTATTTTCAATATTCTCCTTCAGCACCCACGTTAGAGATATTTTGGATTTATGCCTCTTAGCTAGCGGTGTCGAATGCCATAAACCCATCTCTTGGATCTCTGCGTATTCAACGTGAGATTCCGAATCGTCATTAACTTGAGACGTTATTTTACAATTAACTAATAAATCTAGGACTTCACATGGCGCAGCGTTATTCTGAAATAGTAATTGGGCCTTAGTTTAGATCTGCATCAACAAATAAGTAAATTTAGAACTTATTAATTTATTAATTCCAAATAAAATAGCAATTACCGAATTATGTAACTCTTGCCGTGATTGTTGCCCATTGTCGTTACTATCAGTCTCCCGGTACGGTGGTGGTAAGTCTTTGAACGTAATATCTGCAAGCAGAACGCGCCGATTAAAAATTACAATCGATCGTAACTCTTCAACGAATATGATTAATACTGGTGTTATTACCGCAGTCAGCTGAGCGGATTATTGGGCATAAATAATCAAAGTGCAGTCAAAACAATGCAAGTGGGCGAGAGCGCGAAACAATGCCCTGCCGGGGGGATGCTCGCTCCCGGACTACCCGGCTGCCGACTTCCGTGGCAACTACACTACACGCCTCTACGCGCCTCACGGCCACTCTGGCCTGCGCGAGCGCCGATCGCCATAAATCCTGAAACGCGCGCACGCGCCGCCCACCGTCCGCGACTTCGCGCCCAACACTGGCCGCTCATCGCTGATACACTATCGAGTTGACCCTCTAAAAAATCTCGGAACATTCTCACGGCGGTGAGCGTGCGTACGCCGTACTCATGTGAACGCAATGGACTACGCCGAATGCGCCTCAGGACACGATTTGCAGCCAATACAAACTTTCGGTCACCATGACGCTGTGTTATGCATATGTACATATTTGCGTAATTTGTAACACTGTTGGACAATGATACAACAGATTTTGAAGCGCGATTATGTTGTTTTAATCCGTTATGATGATGATAGTGTCGCATGATTACATTTCTGTTGAATGTAAAGTGTTACTCTGACAGATGAAACTGTAAAGCCATTCGTCACGTTTCTGTAATTAGATGTTAAGAGTGAAACAATAAGCTTTGAACGGCGCGTCGTTTAACACTTCTCACGCCTTTGTATTAGACGCCTTGATGTTTCCACACCTGTGTTTGCTTTTCGTTAGTGCAGTTTCATCCCGTCTGACATCGAGGGTAAGTATTTGGAATCTCCTTACTGAACACGAATTTACTTTTTCCTTTTTGGATCCATTCATTTTTTTATCATTATATTGTTCATATAGATTTTTAGGTACATATTTTACTTTTTTAAATATTGTTAATAAGCAAATCTTTGTGAATTTATTACAAGTTAAGAAAAATTTATATTAAAACTGACGTTGACCCATTGAAATATATTTTAGTCCTCAATTAAAATGCAGCATAACTTTTGATCACAGCCTCAGCTCACAACAGCAAAATATCAAAGTATCTCTAGATATATACGGAATTATAGGCATATTTATAGGGGAAGGGGAGGGAGAGTTTAAAAAGTGCATGTGCACCTTATTTAAGAAGCTAGTTACTCCTGGAAGATAATCTTAAATACATAAATGCATGGGATCACAGGTTGAGCGCCAATGCCTCGGCCATGCCGGCGCAGCCGCAAAGCGTTCCTCTCCTCGCTATTCATCAACACGTGCCTAATGAAGTGCGCGGGCGCATCGGGAACATCACGCATTCGCCAAGAAAATTGTTTACTACGAATTGTGTGAATATTCAAATTTCTTACAGTTCATTGACGAATAATGATGGGTGATATTATGCTGTTTTATTGACTATATAAAATTAATTTTATCTACGTCTTACTAGAGTACCTAATAATTTCATCAAGAACTTTATTACCCATGCAATACTAATTGTGCCCAGACTCTCTTAATGTTAAACTCAAGCTCTATTTTATATTAATCACGACAATTGCGCCAAGAGTTTATAAACGTAATAAACGTACTCACTTTCACACATAAAAACTATATTATTCTTATCTGTGATATATATGTGGATAAGAAGAAATAAAGAACATTAGGTGTAAAGTTTGTCGTTTATTATAACCATTATTTAATGAGTTTCTTATATGCAAATACGATCTATCTGTCAAGATAATTTGAGTCCAACAATTCAGAATATAGGCCTTCGTATTGCTTGGCCATTGGTAATGTTCTGTTTATTTAAAGCAACGCCGTTAAAACGCTCGCCGCCATATTTTCGGCGATTTTTCTTTTCACCGATAGTGACAATTTTACAACTTTCTTTATGTTGCCGCTTGCGAAAATAAAAATAAAGTTACATGAGCAATAGCAGTTTGCGTACTCTTAGCATTCCTCAAAATTGGAAAGTGAGACGCCGGTTCGTCGAACTGGTATCTTTTATAGTATTTAGATAATATTTTATTAGGGATTGTGCGAAAAATTTGTCATCGTTATTAAATTCACGCTTTAAGAAACTTGAATCGTCCCTGCTTGAATATTTCGTTTAAATGTCCTAAATCGAGTGCTCACTCAAAACCTTTTTCTTCATTTCAAATTCGTAAAATTATTCCAAAAATCGTCTCTTATTCAGAGTCTGAAACTCACATAATATTATTATTAATGGCAATTGACTTTTTCAGTATTTTAGTACTTACATTTTATTTGTTAAAAATGTTTCTTAATTTCATTAGCACTTAGTTTTTCTGAATTTGGTATGTTTGTTGTAATTTTCATAATAGTATTGTTTCTTATAGTGTATTTCCTTCACATGTACTAAGAATCTAAGCAAACTTTTTTGGCTGATAAAATATTTAGGTAATTGTGTACTTCTAATAGGTGTAAACTTAGAAAAAAAAGTTATACTTCTAATAAATCTTCTATTTTAAAGGCTGATATGATATTAATGATGATGATGAGCACGGCCCACTCAACTTCCCTTCTATACACGCCTATTAATACATGTATCGTATACTATAGAATCGCCTTATATGTATATATATTATCTACACTAATATTATAAAGAGGAAAGATTTGTATTTTTGTGTATATGTTATATTTATTGCTAGAAAAGATTAGGGATCCTTACTAAATCCTTACTTTAGTAACATACAACTCAAGGTGTAAAAAAAAATGCTATAAAATATCTTTCTTCGCGTGCGCCGCGGAAACTATTGAAAGAAAATATCAATAACTACAAAAAATTTTGCGATACTCTATATCCAACTATTATCGTTATGTCACAATAACCACTTTTTAAAACGTTGTAAAGATGTCCACCCGTGCGAAGCCGGGACGGGCCGCTAGTTAGTATATATAATGGTACAAATAAACATTATGTGTAGTACTACAGTTTCGTCTTTTTCTCTGTAAGTCCTAATCCGCCTTCGAGTTACACTGATCCTAAAGATTAGCCCGCTTTTATACTATAGTTTATTAGTAAATAAAATTTAAATATATACACAATATCTTTGTGGATACAATGCAATTACATTGTTCATATAATTTTCATCGGTCTGTCAGTTCAGTATTGTACCTATATATTTCAACTTTCACCGGCGCGCGGCGTCTCGGATACGACAGCGGCGTTCATCTCTCTCTTATTTCACGGTTTTATTGCGCTCAATTATATTTTTATTAGTGTGTGCTGTAACAGTTGCTGTTATTTAATTGTGGTGCCATTATCTAAGTCGCTAAGTTCTGGTACAATGCGTTTGGAAGCTTATCTTTTATCTCGCTGCAACCTACGTCTGTATTAATAGCTACAATTGATTTATTGCCCTTTAAAGATATTACCAAAAAGTTTATTTTAATTTTAGAAATATGCTTTAATTCTATAAATGGTTTCGTTAATTCAATAAAAATTGTGTGATAACGTGCTGTGTTATTATCAATCAAATAATCAATCAAAGACTATGGTATCATACTGTTGGATAAAGACCTCCCTCAGTTGCTTCGCACGATCGCTGTTCAAGCCGTACCAATCTTTTTAGTACTGGTCGTTTCTCCATCGCATACGAGGTGTTCCACGACTTCGTTTTTTTTTTCTGGGAACTGGGAAAAATGTGCAGGTGGGCCAAACTACCTACCGCTAGACATGCGACTCACTCAATGTCCTGCTTAATCCCACTTATAATACAAGTACATACGTAGTTTAAAAGTACCGAATACCTAACCATACTATTTGAAAAGAAACAATATTAAAATAAATCTACCTACGAGGGTTTCAAAATACCTAATTTATTTATTTTTTATTATATCCTAGCTCCTTAACAACTTAACCAATCCCTTTACACATACTATATGGAATGAAGAAAGACTACTTTTTATTCCATTCATTTAATAAATAATAATTTAAAATTAGACGACATTGTTGTATTTAATGCTAAAAATAATGTTTTAATAGTTATCTATGAGTATAAAAGCTCTTTCAAACTAAATGTAAAAAACATTTTTCATCCCTTTTTCCATGTAAATATGTATAGCCTAGAGCACGTTACATTGAGGCACTAAGTACTAGCCAAGTGTTGCAAGTTACCTGAATGAAAGAGCAAAGCTATCATCAGTATGAATTAACCGTATCATCTACGTATTCATCAGTTGACCCTACGTTATGATTTTGTTACATTTTGCCATTACATCACCATTAGTTTACATAGTAACTAAATTGTTGTAGATAGATACGAACTAATGTTACAAGCATCTACTATTGAGTAGATTAATTATTGAGACTTAAACAAAGATTATATTAAATAAATTTAAGTGCTTAAGAGCAAACGAGCATGCGGCTCATCTAAAGGTAAGTGACTACCGCCTCCATGAGCATCCACAACACGGAAATAACTGCCGGTGTGCAGGGGAAAGGGATTGTTAGTAATGGGGTCTAATAGCCACGCGATTCCCCTGGAAACCATCATGTTTAATTCTTGTCGAATTCATCATGGTGGGCCAACTAACCTGCATTCATTCTCACCTATCATCTTCCACTGGTGCCTCGTCGGTGTATACCAATAGCGCGAGCGGGATTACCAATCCATTTTTACCCATTAAAAAAAAAACTGCAAGTGTGCTGCCGTCTTTTTAAAAAGGAACATGCATTTTCTTTATCTTAGACGCAAAAGCGTATCTAAGGAGGGGGGCCTGGTGAGCAGTACTCACCCTAGAACTGTCTGATGCCCAACGCAGGACTAGGAGAGGAGATTTTAGTTATGGGCAAAATCATATCTAAAAGTAGGTACATATGGACTTTTTTTAAGAATCAAGCCCTTCTGAAAATTAATCCTAAATATACGAATGCTTAAACTAACTGAGGACACTGCATTCAGCAACAATAGGGTGACAGAGCAGGCAAAATGCCAA